AAATGGATAAACAATTTAATGTTTCACAATCGACTAGTTCGACATATTTAACAACCATGAGACCAAACCAAAGAAACCACTTTGACTTGGCTAATCAAATACGCTGCACTACTTGCGTCTCATTGCATTCAAGACACAATAAAGAAAAGCACTTTCTGGATCAAGTTGTGACTGGAGGTGTTATGTCGATATTTTGCGATACTTCTAATCAAACAGAAACAAATGCAAGTAATAAANACGAAATTAAACTCTGCATTTGGTGGGATACTGAAGGTGTTATATACTATGAACTGCTACGATCAAATGAAAGTTCTTATAACTCTTTTTCACAACACTTACATAAACTAAAGCAAGAATTGGATAGNAAACGACCGCAAGTAGCGAACAAAAGACGTAAGGTGATTCTGTTGCACACATCTTTTGCCGAGATAAATATCCTTAAGTCCGTGAAAGAACAGATACTNGAGTTTCATTGGGAAGTTTTACCTTATCCCGCAGCTATGGTGGACAGTGCTCCATCATATTACGTGTTTCCACACCTGGAGAACGCTTATAAANACTTAACAAGTTTCGAGAAAGTCAATAAAAGAACAACCATGATTCCGTTTTTCGACGCACATCTCTTTATCCGTGAAATTCACTCACTACCAGAAAACTGGGAGAAATGTATAAAAAAAAAAAAACCATTGCGATTGAAGTAAAAGGTAGTATGTTTTTAATAAATGTGTGGTTTTAGCGAGAACTTTCAAAAGTAAAGGTATCTAGTACAAATACTGTATCGACACTTTGTATTTTGTTATGTATAGGTGCCCTGCAGAACTTCTTTATAAATCTTTTCAACTCGAATTTTACTTTTTGACTTACTCAAATTTGCCACACTGTGTGATAGCGATAGCGATTCTTAGCGACAACCAAGGAGCGCTCGAAGTCGATTGTCACTCACGCACTTTATTTTTTTTCTAAACTGCCGCTTTCGGACACGTATTTGTGCAACAAAAATTGTGTAAAACCGAAAATTCAAGAAGTGTCTTTAGGACAATTCTACATTGCTGTCAATGTGATATTCATCGATTTTTCAGAAATGTAAGATGCAGAAACAATATAGGAGAATCTGTTATGTAGTGTGGATATTTTATACATGTATACTTCTAGTTACTTTATTTACGATAAAAATCTGTTTTTTGGTTTACACAACTTACACAGGTAGTTGAAATAGTTTTTATACACTGCAACTTACAAACTAGATGTAAATGTATGTACCATAACTTCTTAAATGTTATGTTAATGTTACGCATCAAATAATTCAACACAATCACNGTAACATTGATTTTTCCATAAATCAGTTACTAATAGTTGCTATTCTCATTAGTAGAAGTATTATGAGATACACTTATTAAATTTTTTTGGNTTGTGTAGTACGGATTGTATCTATATAATGTATGTTGTATAAAATTGCAAAGGACCAACAATATGTTTTAATACACGAGATANCTATCTTTGTTTTTAAGCATAAACAAAGATANACTAGTATATGTTGCTATGTAAATGTGATAAAATGTAATGTAACATGCACTGTATCATCTAAGTTTCATAAAATAATTATTTTTTTGTTACATACTCTATGGCAAAATATATTCTGTAAAGCTGTTGAAAACAATATCATCTACCAGATTTATTATTTTAATTACTATTTGTCACATTGAAGTACAATTTACATATATATATATATATATATATATGTATATATATCTGTAGTAGGAAACTAACTAACAACAACTTGTTGATGTACGTTGATTTTTACACCTAGCAGAAAATATCTGTTAGGTATATTTCATACTTTGATCAGTATTTTGGCACAGACAGTTTTTAGTGACTGACTCGTTAATTTTACTTTCACATTTTTTTTAATGTTTAGTTTTGACGTGAGTAATCAAGTGAGATTTTCCATTCTTTAAAGTGTCATGAAAAGTTACACGCGTTTTGTAAAGACCGATCGGTGTATACGATTCAAATTGTTATAATTGTCGATGTTATGTAACCTGCATATTATATTTGTTAGAATTGCCGATCTGCTAAAGGCAATTATTCGTAGAACAATTATTTTAATAACAAAAAATATATAAGGCCTTACAAGTTATTCCTAATGATGTTGAGCGGAAACTGTACGTGTATATATATATACACATGTAACGACTTCAACTTGAAAATTTTTACAAGTGAGTGATTTTTGAGTTGAAAACTCAATTTTTAAATTTATACGGGATGCTGGATTTGCATCTCACATATGAGAGACTCCGGATACTTTTTCAACTAATTTGTAAACTATTGCGAAAAAACTCCTTGGCCAGTAGTCGAACCTGGAATCTCCGTTTAGAGTCTTAGTTAGAGGGGTATCCGGGGTCTCTCATATGTGAGATGCAAATCCAGCTTCTTGTATAAATTTAAGAAGTGAGTTTTCAATTCAAAAAACACTCACTTGTAAAAATTNACAAGTTGAATTCGTTACATGTGTATATATATACACGTACAGTTTCCGCTCAACATCCTGGGAATGGCATGTAAGGCCTTATATATTTCTTGTTATTACTTTCAACGAGCCTTAAGTCATAATTTTTTACAATTATTTTAGTTGATTTTAATACTATTAACTCTTATTACAGCTCATGTACGTGTAAATATTTTCTTTATTGCTTTGTTTTTTATTTTTCTNAATACAATCTCGGGTACGTAGTTATCTTTAAATATAACCATTTCGATATGCCGAAAATTAGTTTTTTCATAGTACGTGTCATACTATTTACACTAGTCATTCGTGTTCGAGTGAAACCTGACGTTATGTGAGTGTTGGAAAAATTACTATTCATGTTATCGCGGTAAAAGTCACTTTTTTACAGCTTACAGATATAGAAAAGGATACTCTGGAAAGCATCAAAAGTGCATGACCACATTGTAAATATAGGGTAAGTCAGAGAGAAAGATGAACCACTTTTTTTGTAAACTCGAAAATTACGTAATAACTACTAGGGCAAATGAAACATCAATCTTGTATAATTTGCTACACGTAATAAACTTATGATTACCATGTACTGAAACAAAGAACATTATAGTTTTAAAAAAAAGTGAAATATAAAAATTATAATATTGGTCCATCTACTTATATATCTTTTGGAGTGAGGTGGATCACCGTGTAGACAATAGATGCTTTGTTTTACAAAAATACAATTTACTTTTTTTTAACAAGGTTTTTTTACCACAAACACATTAGTACATTTACTTTTAGATATACTTTCCTTATTGTTTTACAAGTACGCACTGTTATTCTTATTCTTACTTTACATAGTTCTTCAACTTATTTTTTCTTTGAAATAACACCTGTAAGTGTTCTTTGGCCCACTTGTCTTTTTCCAGCATATTTGCGGTTATATTTTGTAGGCATACTGAAAAAGTCGATAAAACAAACTGGTCCGAATATCTTCAATTCCTAGTGGTTTATTCCATTTTCAGGATAAAATGGACCACACAGTGCAGGTTTTATAAGAAAGTATTTGACCATTTTTACAGACGAAATTTTTAAAAATGTTTCTAAATGATAGAATAAGTCGAAATA